AAAAAGACCCAGAAATAGGCTGAAACGAGGTAGGGCCTGCAGGCCCTCGTTTTTCAGCATCCTGGCTGAAATGAACGGGGCCTGTAAGCCCTAAGTTTTAGGCTTTTAGGCTGAATGTCCGGGACGGGCCCTGCAGGGCCCGTGTGGCTATGCAGTATGCCACACTGGCACACACTCCTCATGCGCCCTTTCACAGCCAAACCAGCAGGCAGTACATGGACTAACATCCTAAGAGAATGGGGGAAAATGCTTCCCCATCCTATTGAGAACCCTACCTCCACCATAGAAATCCTCAGCACCCCCTCTTCGAACACCTAGCAATGAAGAACAAAGCCGACCGTCCCTTCTCAGTGGCCAAGGCACACGGGAACTTCGGGCTTACTTGGATGCAGAGAGGGATCTGGCTTTTTCGCCACATTTGGAACCAAGAAAGCAGAACCTGGAGATCACACACTGAACTGAAGACCACCCTCAGAGGACTTCACAACACGCAAGATTACCTTACAGCAGTTATACAAGTCATCCCTGCAGAGTGGATTCATATTCTATCGCAACCGGAGGCATCATACAAAGAGCTACAGTGGTTCAAGTCTTCAGAACAACAAGACCTCTTCTATAGAGTGGACAAAGTTCATGATGACAGCTCTGTCGAAGCATCTGAATGGCGGCTGAAAGACTCCAGATTGGATTAAACCAGAGAGCCACGGGAGATTTCCCTACTCGGCTTGGAGGAAGTCAGAATCTCACAAAAGCAAACTGTAGGGGAGTCACCTACATTCCACATCTTTATGAATGCAGCTCCTTACAAAGATTGGAAAGTTGATGTCTGCAAATATGGCTGGGTTCTCCACAACCACTCAAGCTCCCCTACCAAAGTCCCTATTGCTGATTATACTGCCAAGACTGGTTATAAACTCTTCCCTAACTCTCAGTCATTGCATGCTGGCCTATCTCTCAGATGGCAACAGAAAGCTACCTCCTTCAACCTCCCCTCCATCTCTGTAAAGTGGCTTCTCTTCTTTATTCACAGTCTGCTCTCTACCATAGAGACCAAAGTCGGAGGTCTACAATGGCTGCATCTTCACGCCTGCGTCCCCACAGCGCTGTGGTGCACAAAGAAGGGAATGGAAGTCTCAAATACCTGTGACATATGTCCCCTCCATCCCGCCCCCGACGATATGTGCGAAGGAACGGGACGGAGTTCCGAATGCTACCTGCGGACCAGTTCTTGTCGAAAACCAATGGCTACCGCGTGACCGGTTCCCTGCCCGTTGTCGATAACACTTTCATGATCAGCAGACCGTTGGTCCCGTTCAACAGCCCAACGGAGCAATTGGCGACTTTTGTTATGCGATACAGGGAACAGTTCGCGGGACTGCCGGCTGCCCAACAAGTTGACTGTGTTTTTGTACCCTTTGCCGCGGTGTCCAAACGGCGCCAAGATCAGCCTGCCAAGACGGTTGCGAGGAGGAAACAAGTGACTTCTGGTCCGCGTCCTTCGGATGCGGTTGTCCAGGCTCTTCCCGCTCAGGTTCCTCCCTCTGTGAGACAAAGTCTCAACGCGGCCGAGCAGTCCAGCGAGACCACGGACTTGGACGACGGAGCTTTGCGCTATCGGGCTGATCCCCAGCATCGTCCCCATGGAGGTGCAGATGCCTCCGCCGACAAGGAATGCGAGGGCCGAGATGGGGAGGGTCGTGGTTGGGAGGGGGAGGGCGGGGGTGAGGGGGACGACGGTAACGAAGGCGATGCTGAAGGTGAGGAGGATGACATGGACGAGGAGAGATACGATGTTGGTGAGGATGACACCTGCCGAAACGCTGATGACGTGGTCGATGTTCGTGGCCAGCCTACGACTTCCCGCGGAATGTCACAGTCATGTGACCAGGCGAAGGGTGGGAGAGAAGAACTTGGATCGAGGGGAAAGAGAAGGAGGAAAGAAGCGTCGACATCTCCTGCTGGTCGAAAACAGGCGAGGGCGGACGCCGTCAATGAAGCTCGCGGAGCGTTGACGGCATCCCAGAAAGCGCGGGCTCCACGGAAAGCTGGTGGGGGGGGGGGAGGCGAGTGTCGTGGCGGCGGTCACGACGGCGGTAGGAAAGGCTCGCAGAAGTCCAGGGCATCTGAGCTGCGGGACTCGGGGGATGAGGGCGAGGGGGTGGGGCCTCGCATGCCCGAGGATGTAGAAGAGCTGGTTCAGCGAGCCGCGCCCCTCGACACGACACGATGTTTTTTTGTCGAGTAAGACGAGCAGGGCTTTGCCAGGCAAGACGTCCATGTTGTCAACGTCGACGTCACAAGGATCAAACGCATTCCCCGTGGGAGGATCCTTTTCAACCACTTTGCGTTGTCCGAGAACATTGTGAGAGGCATTGAGAGTGTCATAGAAAGCTCCATCGGTGCTGACCCGGGGGCATGGGATAGACCTGAGCTCGTTCTTGCGTCAGTTGACCCCAACGTCATCGTCGGCGGGCAGGGAAGGCGAATCACGCCAGAAGAGTTCTTACAAAGAGATTCTGCGGAGTTCGACTGGTATGCTGTCTGTGGTCAGCATACTGCCGAGGCCATGAAACGGTTGGTTTCAAAGGACTCCCCCACGGTTAAAGTCTACAGCCTTCGCACGTACTCTAAAGTGCGAGTCGTCTATTTGGATGATGACCACACTCGCGGGTACTTCAATGTCTCTGCCTTCGACAATACACGAGAGAATTGCGCAATGATGTTATCCTTCCGGGACGCTGTGCGTGATATGAGGCAATGGTGGATCGACAACCAGAGGATCGAGGCACCCAAATCTAAGGTCAGCGAGAAGGATCCTGTCGCTGTTGCACATCAAAAAACGTGGCAGAACTTCCTGAGGGCCTGCATGGGGAAGGCGTGCGACAAGGCCTTCGTGAAACAGGCACTCGAGAACGAATACAACAAGGATTGGAGTAACAAACTCCATGGGTACCTGAACCTCGCCACGTCCACCAACACGGTTCTGCCGCTGGTGGAGAAGTTCTTTGCCATGTTCGGGGAGGGTAAGCTGCCGGCCAGCGACGGCAAGATCCCGCTTGAGATGCCAGGGAGGATGGAGGGGCGCCTGCCCAGCCCTTACACAGACGAGAGCAAGGGACAACGAACTTTGTACCACTGCATATATGCGAGAGATGGTCCCAAGGGCTCCACCGTATCCTGGAAGGATTTGTGTCCTACCTACATCAAGAACTTCGGGGACCTGACATGCCGTGAGAGACAGGTCACGCTAATCCTCCTCATGTCAAGTGAAAGTGGTAACAACAAAAGTGAAAGTCCCGCCTCCGAGGGTGAACACAGAGTGCCTCCTCGACATTTTGCGCAAGGAAAGATACATGGTACGCATGTTCAACTACGTCGTGTTTCGCTCCGATGGAAGGCAAGAGGACGAATGGAACGACGACTTCTTCATGTCGTACAAGGACCTCGAAGAGAGATATGCATCAAACGGCCTATGCGTGGCTGAATGGGAAAAGCAACGGGAGAAGCTGCATAGCAGCTTGGTGAAGACGATCCCTCGGCGACTTGGAGGAGTGGAGGAGGCAAGGCAGGGTGTGGGATTGGGCCCTACAGAAGTGATGTACAAGGAGGTTCCGTTTCACTTCAAGGTATTTGTATACACCACAATCGATAAGCTCGATATGCTTCGAGCAGAGGTGAAACGGATTGCCTCCAGTGCACGCCATCTTGTATGGGACGAACTCGGCAGGCAGATTACATTGCTTCCTGTTTGTATGCGGACGAAGGAGGTTATGGCGGCGCCCGACGACATCGTCGCCGCCGCACAAAAAATGACATGCAGGGCCGCCATCGTGGACATCTCGGCCGCGAATTTCAACAATGCATGGACCTCGCAGGACTTCGATGCACTCTACGCAATGATGGCGAAGTGTTGTGGTCCAAATTGGGTCCTATTCTTCTTTGCACCGCAGAAGGTGGAAAGCGATGTCTTGCGTCAATTGTACCATTGGGAGAACATCGAGCTCATTCCCGGGTCCTGGACACGCGAGGACAGGCCGTCGAGCGACGTCACAAGGTACGACAACATCGCTACGACGAGCCGGGACCTGATGACCATCGTGCTGCACGTTGAAGGAGGGGATCTGAAAAAAGTAACTGTCGCACCCCGACTTCTCAATGATCTCACCGAAGTGCACGTTGTGGAGAAAAAGTTCAGGAAGTGTCAAGGAAAACACGGTGGCGACGAAGGTGACGAAACTGCCACATATTCGATTTGGGAGCGAGAGTCTGGCAAGTTGCAGAAGTTATGCAGTTCATTCGTTGGAGAGGCAGAAGGTGTGCTTTTGCTGGGTAGGGCGCACGCGGGTCTCATATGGAAGTTATTGCTTGCAGGTAATAATGTCATTGTCTGTGACGAGTCGGCCAAGGACATTGCGTACTTGACAAAGTTCATCGACATACTTGTCAAGGATGGGAGATTCAAGTGCCGCCTTGAGAACCCGCGTGCCACATATCGCACCAACAGGGATATGTACCACAAGTTGGGACCGAAGAGACTGAAGGTGTGGGAATACCTGTTCCGCAATGCGCCGGAGGGACGCCTTGATGGGGGATATATATATCGGAAAGCCAAGGTGACCGAGCACCTCAAACATTATCACGGTGCTATAACTGGTGCCTTCGAGACATTCGTTGCTCGATGCGAGATCTTGAGGTTTGATCTTCACAAAGATCAACTGACGTTTAAGGACTACGTAGACCTCGCTAAATCGGGTGAAGGCTTTAACCTCGTCGACAGCGAGGAAGATTCATCGGACTCTGACCTCGAGATCGAAAACGACACCACTGCAACCGGGTGGCGTGGCCAGTCTGCTGCCATGGAGCATGGCGTCACGGGATATGAACATGGTCAATCAAAGGGATGCTCGAACCTGCCACCTGCGCACAGTGTGGCCTCGGGGGTGGACCGGGTTGAGTGTACGCCGATGGAAGATGATGAGGACGAAGACCTTGATATTCCTGCTCAGCCAACGAAGCTGGCGCCGGGTGATCCGATTCCTCCCAGCTTTTGTGTGGACCCAAACACTATGTATTTCTTGGATGACAAGTGCGCCCGCACTAGCGAGGACAAGTGGGGTCATGATATTATTTGGCATGATGGCATTTTCGAGCCATGCATCCAAGGCGGGCAGTGGAAAATGGCGGTGAAGTATGTCTCGAAGGGTTGGAAACCGTTTCCCCGCATGGCAAAGAACAGTTGGCTGAAGAAGACGGAGCAATCAATTCTATACCGCTGTCGGAAGGAGAACCTCGGTGAGAGTGAAACATTCATCGCGGCAAAGGCGAAACAATTGTTCGATGCCTTGGGAGCGAATCGGCACTTGGAGTACTCACACAAGTTTTACGAGTTGCACTCGAGCCCCTCCTACGGCATGATTGACTGGAAGGTCGAGCGCACCACCGCCTTCGAGAGCATGGACGTGGACACCCGCGAACAGGCCGCCCCTGTGGTAGAGGCGGCCACTGGGAACACGATGGGTCAACAAAGGGAAGATGGCGGGACAACGTTGGGCGTCAAGGCTCCATTGCCAGAGGCGGGGAAGACGCCCGCTGGAAAAAACACCACCAGAGCCATCTCTGTCGCAATGGGGGAAACATCACAAGGTGAAAATGTGTCGCTCGCCAAGCCGGCGAATGCGGGCGTTGCATACGGGAGTCTCCTCGCGACACGTGCGGCGCTGGCAGGCACATCAGAGATGGAGTCGGAGTCCACTTCTGGGATGACCGGCACGGGGATGTCATTGCATCCGCCCACATGCACTACCACAGGTGACGCACATTGTACAACCACACCGCAGGGAGGGGTCACTAGGGATGACGGGAATGGGGGCAAAGCAGGGGGTTCTCCACATTTGCGGAATATTGAGGACATGAACACGGACGATGAGGATGAGGTAGAAGGCAGAAAGGGCGTAAGTGATCCCACGTGTGTAGGAAATGAGGGGTGAGACTGGAATAAACTTGAGGGGAATCCTCTTCGCGGGGAAATTCAATGTTGTCTTGTCTGTGCTCATCTGTTTTAAATCTAGATTTGTGGGCGGAATTTGTTCAATTGAAGACTCACTAGTTTTTAGACTTTGGGATTTGGCCTTTTCATTGTTGACAATAAAATGGTGTATAAATCGACCTGAGATGTTTAGATTGATTGCCCGTCTCCACGTGCAGCAATAAATCGTGGTGGGAGCATGAGTGTGGTATTTGTACATCTCTCTCTCTTTCTCTCTCTCTCTCTCTCTCTCTCTCTCTCTCTCTCTCTCTCTCTCTCTCTCTCTCTCTC